CATAGGGCTTAGCTGAAGAAAGAAAGTGCTGAAAGAACATAGGGCTTAATTTGCATGGGGGGAAAAACATAGGGCTGGGGGAGCAGTGGACTGGGGGAGCACATAGGGCTGAGAGAGCAGTGGGCTGGGGGAGCAGTGGGCTGGGGGAGCATAGGGCTAAGGGAGTATATAGGTCTGAGGGAGCAGTGGACTGAGGAACCATAGGGCTAAGGGAGTATATAGGTCTGATGGAGCAGTGGACTGAGGAAGCATAGGGCTAAGGGAGTATATAGGTCTGAGGGAGCAGTGGACTGAGGAAGCATAGGGCTAAGGGAGTATATATAGGGCTGAGGGAGCAGTGGACTGAGGAAGCATAGGGCTAAGGGAGTATATATAGGGCTGAGGGAGCAGTGGACTGGGGGAGCAGTGGGCTGGGGGAGCAGTTGGCTGGGGGAGCACATAGGGCTGGGGGGGCAGTGGACTGGGGGAGCACATAGGGCTGAGAGAGCAGTGGGCTGAGGGAGTATATAGGGCTGAGGGAGCAGTGGACTGAGGAAGCATAGGGCTAAGGGAGTATATAGGTCTGAGGGAGCAGTGGGCTGAGGAACCATAGGGCTAAGGGAGTATATATAGGGCTAAGGGAGTATATAGGTCTGAGGGAGCAGTGGGCTGAGGAAGCATAGGGCTAAGGGAGTATATATAGGGCTAAGGGAGTATATAGGTCTGAGGGAGCAGTGGGCTGAGGAAGCATAGGGCTAAGGGAGTATATATAGGGCTAAGGGAGTATATAGGTCTGAGGGAGCAGTGGGCTGAGGAAGCATAGGGCTAAGGGAGTATATACAGGGCTGAGGGAGCTGTGGTCTGTGGGAGCAGCCAGCCTGTCAGATAACCTGAATCTCATTTCTCCATTGTCGTCCCATACACACTACCTGCCACACATAATTCTAGTCATTTTATACATCTGCTCATTGCAGCCTTGCTTCCTGTATCTACCTTCTGCCTATTTTAGTGACTTTTGGCTGCATGCCTGATTCCTTCTGGTCTTGTTTGCCTCCGCTGACGGCCTACCTGTTGCTGACCTACATCTTCCTATCTGACTAGTAAACGCTGATTTTGTACTGGCACTAGTATCTGCTGATTTTAAAGCTGCAAAACGTAGGCGCAGAGAGAATGGAAACCATGCCAACAATGGCAGGAGTAAGAGTTGTCTACCAATGTAATGTTTTACTGATTTTCATCCAACCATCTGCCCATTTGCTGCTTTACTGGGTCCGGGTAGTGGTGACAGAAAGCAAAGTGGCCCAGTCAGCTGCTTCCTCATGTCCTCCTGCTCCTCTTGGGGATTGATTTTCAATCTTTATTTAACCTTTGGTTGGCTGCCTATTTGGACAACAGAATGTTCTGGCTAATACATTAAACAAGTCAATATAACGTCATAACACCACAAAATCTGTTTGGGCGAAGGGTTCAGATTGTTTAAAGTATTTTTCCAACCACAAAAGTGCTGGCTTTTGTATTTGCAGGTTCTACACAGCAAAGCAGGGGCTTATAAACAGCACTGCAGGAGAGTGTTCAATCCTTCCTGTTTTACTGCAGGCTGTTAAGATTAAACACAAAATGATCCAATCTCACTGAAATGTAGAATTTCCCATTAAAATCCATCACCCACTAAAAGTTAAATGAAATAATTGAGTTTAAATCTCTGCAATATTTTGGAAGACCGTACAGGAGTATTTTCTTTCAGTTTTGTCAGAGTGAGGCGACCACATGTGAGTGCGAGAGTGCGGAGTTGTGAGTATGAATTTGTAGAATTTGCCGGCTCACAAAGCATCAGTATGCGGCGAGCGGGAGAAACCAATTTGATAAATTGCAGCTGTGTGTCCTCCACATGTCATGAATAATGTGAATAAATGTCTCAAATTGCACCACAATTAGTCAAAAAGGCAGGTTTGGTAAGTGTGAGGCCACAGGTGAACCCCCCTGCTGCTGTGTCCCCTCTGGAAACATAATCTACGGGTGGACTACCCACTATACCGCTATATTTAAAAAAAGTTCTCAAAATGTAATTTGGCTTCATCTAATGGGTTTACGAGATGAGTCGGATTTCATAGAAATTCTATTTTCTGTTGTGCCAGGACAGGTGTTATCTCTGATCCACAGCACCATCCCAACATTGAAGCATGATCTCAGAACCAAGTGGTTGCTGATGATCAAATAATCACCTGCTGTGCAGAAAACAACACGATAATTCCATCTCCGTGGTCCCTTTGCTCTCCCACACTCAAGAGTGGAGCAGATCTAAAGCAGCACTGAGCGAACTACTCAGCCCCTTTTCAAAACACCCAGGAGGAGCAGGGATGTTAAATTCTTCAAGCTGTATCATTATCAACAGTCATTTAAAGAAATGCCTTCACAGTGTGGTGGATTTAATGAAATACAACAGATGTTGTAGAAGTAAAAGCTTCTGAAAACTGCAGAATACAATCAGTGTCCCTTTGCATTACTTGCATCTTGTCTGTAAAAAATAAAATATCACAGAATGAGAACATTAAAGCTCCTGAGCATCCACTTCCCCTGCTGTACTCTCTGAACACACTGCAGGTTATTGATGCTCAACGCCTGCTGCACTTCAATAAACTACTTGTTTAAAATGTGAAGCCTTATGAAGTATTTCTAGATTTATTTTGAATGCGACTTGACTGACTTGCAAGCTGATTGTGGTTGGAAATTTCAGATTTTGTTATTACCTTACCCCCCCCCCCACCAAAAAAGGTGTTACTAATATCAAGAATTTGTTTTTTAAATAGTGAAATCCTTTAAAACGCAGTGGTGGGCACATATTCATTTCTAAACGCTATTTTAGACACTGGTGAATATTTTAATTATAAACTAAATGCTGTGATCATGTACAGTATCTCAATCATTTCGTCAAATGGAGTTAATTTTACATAATTGCGTTCATGCTCTTTACCACATGTTTCGTTTATGAAATGTAGCATAGCACTATGAGTGTATTGTCCTGACTTTGACATGTATTTTTACTCTACACCTTAAAGTGTGTATGAATTCTCTGTGCCAGTAGATGCAATCTGCTGCTATATATTCCTTAGACATTCAATTTGATGCACAAATGCAGCTTCTTATCCTCTTTAAGGCTATTTGTCATTGTCAAGTAACCCGTACCTTCTCTTCCCATCACACACAGACAAACACACAAACATGCACACAGCCATACTCCACCGATCTTGTGGACGGTTCGTTCCATGCTTGCACCATTACTGAGGGGCTCCGTTGCACCGTGAGTAAAAGACAGATGCACAGCTTTTTGTGAGCGACGTGAACACACCGCTATGATTTGGAGCACAATGGCAGTCGGTTGTGTCTCTCCGAACGGGAAGTGGTTGAAAATGTGACTCGAGATGTGACCCTTCTGCAGCAGCGGGGACTATTTGAAAACTGATGAGACACACAGCGGGGCTCTCAATGGTGCGGCAGTCCAAATATCCTCCACTATCCGGCATATCCAGGTGGAGCCTGTTAAGTGGATGTGGATGGATGTACCCTGCTGCTTTTCTGTCTTTTTCTTTCCATATATCCATGCATTTGCGCCTCGTCTCTCTCCCACACACACAGACAAAGACACACATGCACAGGTCTCTCTCTCTCTGTGTCCCGGTGGGAGCTTTCCCTCTGACTTGTTGTAGAGAACGAGTGTCTCCGAGCAGCTGTTTTCAGATCCAGACAGAAAAACAATGCTGGTGCTCGGCCACCCGCCTGCTGCCTGCCATTCGTCCAGCGGTGCCGACTGCTTATGTCCCCAACTCGGCAGCAGTGAGCCTCAGCTCCCTTTTTCTGCTTTTACTTTACGAGTATTGGCATTTTTTGCAGTTTATTCTCGCTTCTCTAATATTTTCCTTACTAAAATAACAATGCGCATCCAGCTTGATGCCTATTGCAACAACAGTGACTTGAGGCAGGAAAATCCTATTGCAACATTTTTCACCCCCCTTCCCGAGACAAGGCTTTGTTATGTTATTGGGGGAAAAGAACTAGCTTGCTCCCGCAGGAGCAAGTCATTGCTTTTTCCTTGAAAGATTCAGAGGAACTAGGGCTGGAAAGGGGGCAACGGAACATGCCGAGCATTACAGATATTTTGTGTTTCGGTGATCCAATGGGACACTATTTTTTTCTAGCATCGACGCCTGTTTGCAACACAGCGGTCAAAAAAATCAAAATAATTCAGTTGAGTAAGTCTTCCAGAGAGCACGACTAGCTCTGTAAAACAACCAGGGATCCACGCAGAATGAAAGAGAGCGATGCCCGAGCTGCCATTACTCTCATCCAGTGGTTTTCCATTCATTAAAACTACGTGCTGCACATTGTCACTCATAACACTGCTGTAAGCCACAATCAAAGACAGACACACAGGCAAATAAGTAATACAATGCAGTGATTTACATGAGAAAGAAAAAACATAACGGCGTGAGTGCCTCTAGATTCTGAGCATAAACATGTTTTTTTTGTGCTTTTCTATCCTGTTTATCTTCTCAGAAACCCTTTAGGGAGCCTTGGCCACCAGACTGGAAAACACTGATTTATTTGAATATATTACACGAATAAAACAGAGAGCTTGGGTTATTTGATTGCACACAGCTACATTTTCATGCATCTGTTAATTGATTGCGATGCCGTCAGAGGACAAAAAAATAAAACCGGTGACCTGGTTTCGGTGAGAAGACAAGCCGGCAGGTTGGAGAGCTGCCTGCACTGACCGAGACTGTGGCTTCCAGCCGCAGGATGCCAACAGCACATTAAGTGTGTTAACCCTAAACCTAAATGCAAAGGCACCCATTAGGTGAAGGCGATGTGAAAATAAGTAGCTCTCACGTAGCCAAAGGTTTGTTGTAAAAAATAAGAAGTGCGAGGCCTTGCATCGTGAGCTCTCCCCAGATGGTTCAGCATCAAAGCCCAACGAAAAAAGAAAAACCCTGTTTCGATAAGCGGTCACGTGGGGGAGGCGCCAAGGTCGTCCAGGTCACGGAGTCACCGAGACGTTCGTTTGTTGGCGGCCGGGTCCATCTGGCGGGCAACGGAAGAACTGTTCAGTGTGGAGACCTTGAAACAGAGCATTCTTTCCCCCCCCCCCACCGCCCAACGACGCCCAACCCGGTCCCCGGTGAGAGGAAACGTTCAACTTCAAAGCTTCAACGCCACCGGCCACTCGATTTAAAGCTAACGAAGTAATGCTACATGAGTCACGGGATTTAAGCTAGGCTATATCACTCAGCCAAAGAGTTCACGGTTTCCCAAACGAACAATCACTTGTTAACGTTTCGCGTCTCGGCCTCACCGGTGTCGTTTATTTAACAGAACACCAATGTGTGTGTCTGTGTGTGTTCGTGTGTGTGTCACCACGTCAGGCCGACTCGGCCCACCCGCAATGCTCATCACTTCTCCCCGCGTGCGGGTGGAACTCAAGCCCCCGGGCGGGTCACCGAAGAATAGCGAGTCGTTAAATATTCATCCTCCGGTCCCGGTGGCACCTCGTTTTTTTTCTCCTCTCCACTGACCGACCCCTGCTGCTCCTGAGCCGGGAGCCTCGTCCGAGGTGAGGGGGAACCGTGTGAGTGGTTCCAATATAAACGGGACTGGCCGCAGTTTAGTTTTTGTGTGTTTTTTGTTATTTTTATTACTTTTTTTTTTTGCCCGGTAAAACGATGGGGAACCGGGACTACGGAGCCCCGGTGCGCGTATTCCGGAGGAAAGGTAGGCTTTTCAGTTCCCTCCCTCCTCCCTGCCTCCTTGACCCTTTTGCCTCCACACTTTGGTTTATCTGCTTCTCTCATGCAAGATACACGTTTATCCCGGAATTAGACTACCTAATTATAATCATTATAAAACGAGATTAAATCATGGGAAAATAATGCAAAGTTAGGTAACTTAATTGCCTTGTGTCTTCCACTCGCTGCGGGGCTGTAAACTTACCTGAACCAACCAACTCCAAACTGTCAGAGGTGCTGCAGGTGTAATGCTGGTCCACTAGATAGCAGCAGATTGCTTCATGCATGTGTGCGTGTGTGAGTGAAGTGTGTGTGTGTGTGTGTGTGTGTGTGTGTGTGTGTGTGTGTGTGTGTGTGTGTGTGTGTGTGTGTGTGTGTGTGTGTATAAAGTGACAAAGATGGTCTACTGCTCCCCCTCAGGACCTGAATGCTTTTGATGAGCCCCATCTAGTCCACTGCTCTGCTTTTCTCTCCTGGGCATGAATCCCAGTTTCTCTGTGTTGTCTCTTCTCTACAAATTATTTCAAAAGACGGAGGACCACCTGCCACCAGCGATTGCTTTGGGAAGATGAAGACTGGCTGCTACTCGGGGCTTCTTCATGTTTGATAGGGTCTTTTCATTATGCTTCAAAGGCAGATGCACGGTTAGTGACAGGCGGGAAATGCAGGAAAAAATGCTCTTTCATTACTCTCTCCGTCTTTTTATGCACATGTGCACCCACTCAAAGACATAAACACACTGTGCGCACATGCACAAACATGCACGCACATACACGACATGTGCTCTTTGCTACTCGGTAATGATCAGATAGACTTACACACCAGGACCCAGAGATCAGGATCTGGCAACCCAACACCTATACCCTGTAACAGGACAGATCTGGCAATCCGACCCCATCCCTCTGGAAGAGGAATAATTTGGTTGATGGCACTAATAATCACAGCCCTGTTATCGATCCTTTACTGGATGTGTGTGTGTACGTGTGTGTTTTGAGAGTCATTCCCCTCTTATTGATTCCCTGAGCGAAGACGTCATATATCTACAACACAAGTGGGTGTTGCTCCTGCCTCCGCTTCTCTGGCTGTTAAGGATGTGGAAGTTCTGTAGGCTGGTGGCTTCCTGCATTTCTCATGTTGATGCTATTTAAACGTGAATGTTTCTTAGAATGAAGCGTCACTTCATCTTCGCTCATATGCACACACACACACACACACACACACAAACAAACACTTGACCGTATATGTTACTCTGGAAAAAGAGGAGGAGTTGATTTCGGTCAGATAACGTAAAGGTTTAAGTATGTGACTTATCTTCTGCATAAGCGTAAATATAGTCCATCAATAAAGAAATTACAGGTTGTTAATATTTACATATCGATAGATTTGACCACAGCTTACTGGAATTCATTCTCAGATCCATGTATCTTTCTTTCTTTCTCTCTCTCTCTCTCTCTCTCTCTCACTCTACCTTTTGTATTATTTATGCCCCGCCCCCTCAGCAGCTCAGAAGACTCGAGTTTCACCTGTAGAGCTAGATGACCAATTAAGACTGCTTCTGCGACCCGCCACAAGGAACTCAAACACATACACATATACGCAAATGCCAAACGCACACACGTACACACAGACAGGTTACCCATCTGCCCTTCTCTCTTTCTTCCACGGACACACACACACACACTTACACACACTTACACGCACGCACACTATCTGTCACACACTCTGAGGAGAGCTGTGCTGAGTGAAGGAACGTGTTGTAGTGAGCAACGGAGGACGGAGTAGGTCAAAGGCAACAGCTGAGTTTGACCCAAAGACTTTCACCCCGAGTTGCTTTGCTTCATTTTTTTTTTTCCTAATCACTAAAGAAGACCTCTACTGCAAGGACGAAGTCAATTTGAAGACTGCAGAGATTCTGGCGACCAGCTCACTTGCTCTTCTGTACTTGTTTGTCATTGAATGTGGAGGTGACTATAACACAACGCTGCTCCGGTGAATGAGTGTGAGGACACTGCCTGTCTCTTTGACTGCATCTCTACAAGAGAAGGACTCGACTACAGCGAGAGAGATTAGACAGATGCATGTTTTGTGTGGGTTTTAAGTTTTTTAACTCAATTTGTCAGAAAGGAAAACTGTGTGCAATTTTGTAAAACCACTGGTTTTGTAAAGCCTGAATTACACTTCCCCAGCTGTGCACCTTATTCGAGAGCCAGGCATAAACAGTAAAGTGCTGCAGCGTTTTAAGTGAAGCATGTTATTTTCTTTATATGTACACTTTATATATGCCTTTTATAAACCCTTTGTTCGACAGTCTTTATTTGTGAATGTGATTCAAAAGTCCCATATTAGTTAGTTAGAAAAATGATTATGGAGTTGAGTGGTGCGGAGTAGCGCCTGTGCCTAGAATTAATATGGCTGTTGTTGTAGCCCACATACTAGCTTTTATGTCCACTTAAGACTCCTGCAAATGATCCATGTGTCTCTGTGGAAGCTCTTTGCAAGCCTTATCACATTCATGAAGTACACGCTATGCATGTATTCATGAGCAGATCTAGATTTCCACAAGGTGTTTAGTCCTCTCACCCATTGGATACTTTGACCTTGATAGAGCTGCACATTGATGGGTAGATTAGCATCTGTTGATAGAGGTCAGAGCAGTGGGCAAAAATAACGAGGGCTTAGAGACCTTGCAGTGTAGTAACATAGCAGGTCTGTCGAGCAAGATTTAGTCAGGCGCGGGATCAGTGGGTCGGGCTTTGAGATCATTTGCTACCACGGTGCGTAGCGGTTTTAAGTACCCCTGAATGGGATAAAAGACTTTGTTGTGCTAAGACATACAAGTACTTGATCATTTTGGTATCATTTTAACACTAAATGAAGGGGGTGGTAATGTAAAGAGCAAAGTTTACTCACCTACTTGGTTTTATTGTTTCAATGTTAGTTTTATATACATGTGGGGGATAAAGATCGCTGACATCTAGTTCTACGTCTAAACAGGAGCCTTCATGGGGACCAGATTTGGGCAGTGTGGAACTGCTTTGGCCAGGTGTACCTGTCCTCCATCACAACCTGCATATACTGCTTGCACAAAGTCAACCAGGCATAACTAAACCAAGAACTGTTTTAAAGGTCAGACTCCTGATCAGACTTTCTTTACACATCACATCATCATTTGCACATTTCAAACCTAAAATACAGGATGCATTTAATCATTGTGTTTGTGTCTTTTCAAGGTTTACAGCATCTTAAACAGAGAGCATGGTGTGCTCCTAGGTGATTGTGAAAATGCCCAAGAAAGATGCCAAGAAGGATGCCAAGAAGGATGCAAAGAAGGGTGGAAAACCTGAACCAGAGAAAAAGAAAGAGGAGGAAACGAAAGGGAAGGATGACAAAAAGGGAGGAAAGGACAATAAGAAGCCCAACAAGGACGATAAAAAAGGTGGGAAAGATGATAAGAAGGGGGGCAAGAAGGGAAAGGAGGAGCCACCCAAGGGAAAAGATGATGGAAAGAAAGGAAAAGACAAAGGAAAAGGTAAGAAAGTGGAGTCCGAGGAGGAGGAGGAGATCCTGAGTGATGAGGAGGACGAAGACTTCAGTGAAGAAGAGGAAGATGAGGAAGACTCAGAGGATGACAGGCGAGGGAAGGGGCGAGGAGGTAAAGGGGCCAAAGGAAAGAAAGGAGGAAAGTCTAGACCTGTGGATTCAGAAGAGTATGACGAGGACGAAGAGGAGGACGACTACGATGATGAAGAATACGACAAAAAGAAATCAAAAGATGGCCGCCACCATAAGGGTGGGAAAACAGATGCTGATGCAAAGAAGAAGAAAGGCAAGAAGAAGGAAGAAGCTCCACAACTTCCAATAAAGGAAATCCCAAAGAAAGGTCTGAAGAACATGTCCAGGATGTTCATGAAGTTTTCTGGCTTCAAGAGGCGAAGGAACAGCAGGAAGAAGCTGAAAAGTACATCCCGTTTGTTTCTTGGTTTGGGGAAGAGAAAAACCCGCATTGCTAAGAAGAAACGCCGCAAGTCAATACTGAAGAACACCTCTCGATTCATGATGAGGTTTAAGGCCAGCAAAAAGAAGAAAAAGGAGAAGGACGACAAAGCGAAGGAAAATGGCGGGAAGAAGCCAACTTATATGCTGCTTCGTCTAGGAGGAGGGAAAGATTCAAATAAGAAGAAGGGAGGCTTCTTTAAAAACTTATTTGGAAAAAAGAATGGTGACGGGCCTCCCGACGACTTCAAGAACAGAAGTATGTTGCTCGGTAAAGTTGCAGCAGCAACCAACTGGCTGACCAAACGCTTCCTGTCCACTAAAATGCAAGGCAATGCAGGACACCATGGCTTCGGCGGAAAAAGAGCACGAAGCCGATATGCCAGCTCCGGAGGTCATCTCCATGGTTACCAAAACAACGGTTATGAGCATGGGGAGGAGGCTTATGGGTATGACCGCCGACGGAAAGATTATGAAGGCTATGATGATGACTATGGTGGTTATGAAGACGAACCCCCTGCAGCATATGGAAGCCACGGTCAGTTGGGTTACTATGATAACGGAGCAGGGGTAGCAGACTATCAAGACCTGGGTTACTATGAGGAAGAAGGACGCTATGATCCAAATGCGGAATATTATGAAGGGGATTTTTATGATGATGGCATGCAGGACTACTATAATGCCTCCCCTGAAGGCTATTATAACAACCAGGATGCTTATTACCATGGTTATCAGCCACAACAGTCAATAGCAATGTATGGTGACGAGGGTCTTGACTACTATGCAATAATGGGTCAAGACCATTTGTATGGTGGGGAGGTTGATGGTTTCCTTGACCCTCGGGCTCAGGTTTATTACGATGAAAATGGACAAGTAGTTTACTACGGTGATGGGCAGAGGGGTTACTTTGACAATGGGCAGGCAGGTTACTATGAGGACCCTTATGCAGCAACAATGGGTATACAAGGGGGATTTCCACCAGACCATCAACTCCGTTATAATGACGCAGGCATGCCCTACCACGAGTACAGCTCCCAGCAGGCAGTGGGGATCCCACCAGGGGGCCAGCCGTTCTCTGGCTTTGAAGGTCAGGGGGTGGATCAGGTACAGGGCCAGTATGGGGACCAATATGCAGACCAGTATGATCAATATGGGAATGATACCGGTGGAGTTCAGACAGGGGAGTTGACATTTAGAGTTCCGAGACCTCAAGTGCGCCTGTTTGGGAAAGAGCGTTTGGATGTGCCCTTGCCCCTTCCACCTACTCTGCCCCCTGATCCAGAATTTGAAGACATGTCAGAAATCCAGTATGAAGACCAGTACCCTCTCGCACCAGGCCAGCTTGGTGACATGATGTCAATACAGCAGCAAATAGGAATGTCACCACAACAGATGATGATGTCTCCTCAAGAACAAATGATGTTTTCCCAACAACAAACCATGTTGTCCCCTCAAGACCAAATGATGATGTCCCCACAAATAATGTCCCCCCAGCAACAGAGAATGTCACCACAGCAACTGATGAGGTTACCAATGCAGCAGATTATGTCACCAGAGCAGCAGATGATGTTACAACAAGAACAAAGTATGTCTGCCCAAATGATGCCGTCACAGACACTGATGCCACAGCAACAAATGATGTTACCACAGCAACAGATGATGCCCCAGCAAATGATGTCACCACAGCAGCAGACGATGTCACAGCAAATTATGTCGCCACAAGAACAGATGATGCTGCAGCAGCAACATATGTTGTCTCCGAAAATGATTCCACCACAGGTAATTTTCTGTTGAGTCCTTGATTTTGTATCACGATACCCTTGAACGCAGGGTAACCAAAGTGCGACTTGGTTAACTTTCAACCTGATTTTTATGTATACTCTGGAGTGAATATGTGAAAATGCAAAGCTACTTTAGAAGGAGAGTGATAATAATACTGGAGTCATTAAAAAAACAGATTTTTTTGATATAATTAAGTGTAGTATTTGTGGCCACTCAACAGGCAATCAGTAACCACTCCCAAATATTACTAGTTACTAGTTTTTTTCTCCACCCCAAATTACATAAAATTGTCTGTGTTCTCGTGAAAAAACCTAATAATAGTCAAATTATTTTTGCACTGGATTACATTACATTTAGGTAACGCTATTATCCAAGGGAACTTACATTGCACCCATGTTTGCGGTTCACGTTGCACCCTCTCTACTCCATCCACCACAATCGCCTCCACTAGATATTTATTTTCTTTAATAAAACACTGGTGCCATTTGCTTGTGAGCCTCAGCCTGCTTTCTCAGTCCAGTGCCTTGCGAGGGTGCTTGTTTTACAATACGGTGCTTGAAACTTCTGGTTGGTAGGAATTTTCACAATTAGTACTGTTTATTTTTTATTAACTGACAATTGTGGATGTCCAAATTGACTTCCTTGGCGCTAATCCCAATCAGATACTTATTTTTCAATATTTGAGGGGTGGATGGGGTAAAAGAGTGAGCAGAGGATCTGACCAGACACGCAAACACGTATGTGTAGACAGATGGTACCAGTAGGTGGGGGATGTTACTTTGACTCCCTGTCAATAATGCTTCAGTGCTGATATTCAGCATCTGATGTAGCGCAGCAGGCCCACACCGGAGTTTGAGTATGTTTCATGTGTCACTTCTTATCTACTTTCATTGTGTCTGTTTGGTCTCTGTATACCATCCACACAAGACATGTTTGTGTGGCTTTACCCAAAATCCGAAAATCACACACTCAGAGGTGAATGAAAGAGTCTATCTCCATCCACTTATCCCTGTCTGAGATTCCACATCTGTACCTCTGTCAATCCTCACGTGTGTAGAAAAGTATGCATCCATTCACTCATATAAGTATGAGATTATCCATCTGTCCATCCGTCCAACCTCTCACCTGTGTATTAAAGTATCCATCCATCCACTCATCTATGTATGGGATTATCCATCTGTCCATCCATCCATCCAACCTCTCAACTGTGTATTAATGTATCCATCCATCCACTCATCTATGTATGGGATTATCCATCTGTTCATCCATCCAACCTCTCACCTGTGTATTAAAGTATCCATCCATCCACTCATCTAAGTATGGGATTATCCATCTGTCCATACGTCCAACCTCTCACCTGTGTATTAAAGTATCCATCCATCCACTCATCTAAGTATGGGATTATCCATCTGTCCATCAATCCATCCAACCTCTCATCTGTGTATTAAAGTATCCATCCATCCACTCATCTATGTATGATATTATCCATCTGTCCATCCATCCATCCAACCTCTCACCTGTGTATTAAAGTATCCATCCACTCATCTATGTATGAGATTATCCATCTGTCCATCCAACCAACCTCTCACCTGTGTATTAAAGTATCCATCCATCCACTCATCTATGTATGAGATTATCCATCTGTCCATCCGTCCATCCAACATCTCACCTGTGTATTAAAGTATCCATCCATCCACTCATCTAAGTATGAGATTATCCATCTGTCCATCCACCCATCCAACCTCTCACCTGTGTATAAAAGTATCCATCCATCCACTCATCTATGTATGAGATTATCCACCTGTCCATCCATCCATCCAACCTCTCACCTGTGTACTAAAGTATCCATCCATCCACTCATCTATGTATGAGATTATCCATCTGTCCATCCACCCGTCCAACCTCTCACCTGTGTATTAAAGTGTCCATCCATCCACTCATCTATGTATGAGATTATCCATCCATCCATCCAACCTCTCACCTGTGTATTAAAGTATCCATCCACTCATCTAAGGAGACCGCCCTGCAGACACAAGCAAGAGGCTCCTATGAAAGGCCTGAATAGCTCAGTAGTGAAGGACATCTTTGGGTACACAAAGTAAAATACTTGATGCAACGTGGCAGCTCTTGAAGAGTTACTTGCTCTGTTTGGTGTCAAATGGAAACTGGACTAAAGATGCACGTGATAATTATTTATAAAAAGGATTTAAAAGGAGAAAAACAAACCGAGGATCGTGTGAGAGGAAAGAAGAAAGGCTCACCGTCATGGTAGTATCGTAAACAGGGTTGTCCTCCACAAAGTTCCCTCCGGGCAGCCGGTGTTTGTTGTTCACCAGGTAGAGGAGCGGGTCGCACACCTGCTGTTCGTCGATGCCGGTGGTGGAGTGAGCCATGGAGAAAACCTTCACCACGTAAGCCGTGATCCTGACAATCAGACGGGCCGTGATTAGAACTTCATCAGGTCACATGTCAAACAGGTCAAGTGACGAGGAACTGAACGATGGTGACGCGTACTGACTTTTGAAATGCTCTTTAGAGTATTCTATTTCAGAACTTGGCACAGCAAAAATCAGCACATTTTAATTAAAGGAAAACGTCAATATAAAAAGGTACCATGTGCTTGCACCTTCCCTCCTGTAGGGGGGGTAGGAGCCATCACTCCTCCTGTATGCCAGCTGTTTCTGGTATCCTGAGAAGAAAGAGGAAGAATTCAAAGATGTGAAGCAGAGAGATACATCTTAAATCCACTGCTGTATTCATTCAGTCCACCAATTCAGTTATTGGTCCATCCAACCAACCAACCAG